AAAGTGTGTGCAAGTAGGTTATTGCTCGGCTTTGATATATCTGATATATATTAATGTATCCCAGTTATTGTCACCAGACGGTCCTGAGGAGACTATGATGTATGAAAAATGTATTTGCCAACAAAAGGTGCAACACGACAGGGCTACAGGATCCGAATAAGGACAATAAAAACCTATAAACATAGATAAAGTAAGCAACTTTCTGACTGAAACAATAAATCAGTTAAATACTTTACTTTATTCTGCACAGCGTGTTGCATTGCCCCCAAGTGGACAACAAATACTTTACAGTCCATTAGCCATCTCTCTGTGTCAAAAAGCTTTGTCATGATGATCAATTCTTTTCAAATCTGTCCTTTAACTTGTGCATTTATCAAGTTGGATTTTGTATTTAGGGCTCTTACTCTCTAAGGCCACACACACTTTATCATCTGTGTGGAGTGACTCTGAGTGGCATCTGGGCTTTGTGGCTTTAAGGGTGTCAGATAAGAACACAGATTATGCTATGCCCCTGCCAGAGAGAGGGGGGGGGGGGGGGAGAAGAGGACAAACGAGGCAGCAGAGAGAGAGAGAGAGAAAATAGGGGAGTGACACATAGGGGGGAAAAAATGTTGTGTGCTCTGATGAAGCCTCTTTATCCTTAAAGAGTCTGTAGTTTGGATTTCATTTTCACGAGTATTAAGATATCTGTATCTGTAAAGTCTGCTACCTCCTCAGTGAAAGGTCGAAATGAATGGAATGTTGTTTATGTTGCTAACAGAACACAATGTTGTGTTAGGTAGAGTGAACCCAGGCTCAGACCAGGAGAAAAAAAGAAAGAAGAACACTGACTGACTAGAAAGAAGGGATCCACACACAGAGAATGAGTGATGAGGATTTACTTTAAATACACAAAAGGAAACAAAACAAACTCGAAGTATTCAGTTTACCCTGAAGCATGATATCAACAGAAGATCTTGCAATGCCTGATTTGGGAACCAAGGAAGATAGCATAAAAGACAGAGCTTGATGGAACGCAGGTACGAGTGTACGGTCTGCAGAGTCTTTGATCGGTGAAAATTTGTGCTGCCAATAGATTTAAAACATTGATAAATGCAACGTACTGGATGCAAACACAGGATCACTCTGGTAATAACATTTGCTCAGTTTAAGACAGATATTTCCAAACACCCCAACATGTGTATATATAAGAGTATGTTTAGCCTACCATAACTGCCTGATAACTAAAGACAAGAATTGGCTTAACTAGTGCAACAGAAGGCCTCTTTTTCTGAATGGCATAGAAGTTAATTTACTCAAGTTTTTTTGTCAGATTGCCCTATTTACATTGCCCTAAATAGGCTACATAAACTACTTCTCTACATACTGTGTTTGACTTGATTAGAAGAGGCGCCCTGCAAAAGATAATGCAACATGGTGAGAAGATGTTTCATATTAGTAAAAAGTGACTATGGTGTGCAGTGAAGTTTTTTCATTTGACTGACTGTCCACAGAACTGTATTACACGACTGTTAGGGCTTCATGATCAAACAAAGCTTCATATCACGTTATCCCTCCCCACTTGAGCAGGCAGTCATGTGCATTTTCCAAATTAGCAACTTGTTTTTCAGATGTATCTGACACCATTTAAATGCAGGGTCAGACTTTTTTTACATGATATATTCAGCTCCACCTATTTACAACCCTTTCCTGGTCAAATCAGCCAGAATAATTAAAACACCTGTGTTGGTGTACAGAGGCTTTAAGGCAATGGGAAAAATCTAATTTTCAGATGGTGCAGATATGTGCAATTTTTTTGAGGTAATGTCAGGAAATTAATTCCTAACAGGCAGGTATTTGTAGTTAAATTAGCAGGGTTAAAATGGTAACTTGAAACATGCTGGTAGAAGGCACAAGGGCAGGTTAATACAGGCCTACTCTAAAATAAAAACATAACTTCATGCTCAGGGTAAAAAGAACTGACCAGATACAGATAACTAAGCAAAGGGAATAATGTGGCGTACATGGTACATAATAAGTGAATGTGAGACAGGTGGGTCAACTCAAGGGCTGATCAATGCACAGGTGGCAAGAGAAAACAGGGAAAGTCTGGTGGGCATGTGTAGTGGTTGAAATTGGCTGGGGACCTTGGGAAGTGTGAATATACTAATGGAGAGGATCAGGAAGACTCACTGTGACAGAAAGAGCTGATGGTGACTTTAAAAATTGTTTTATTTTTTGTTTTTGTCAAACTGACTTCTATATTAGATTAGATCTATCTTCTTTTGAAGCAAATTCACATTGCCAATTTACCTAATATTGTCAGCTTGAAGCTCATGTTAATGACACTGACTTTGTTGCTAAGAAACAGAGCATCTTTCATTCCCTTTTTTAAATCTGGAACACCTGTTCTATTATTATGGAACTCTTCAAAGGCTTTTTGGCAGAGAGTCCTAAGGGCAACAACTTGTTTTGCAGGGCTCAGCACAGTATTCTCAGTGAGGACATTGTGGTAAGGGCAAAGAAACTTTAAGTAAGTAAGAGCTAGGCTGACCATGGGGCAATAGTTTAGCTGAGTTGTTAGAGCAGGAGTCCCATGTACAGAGGCTACAGTCTTTGTCGCCCTGGTAAGAGGTTTGACTTCAGATCATATACCCGATCTTGGCGCTGTTTAGTGTATTTCATCCCCCGCTCTATCCCTAAACGTTCCTGTCCGACTATCTGTCCTATCTAATAAAGGCAAAAAAGTCTTTAAAAAGAAATAACTCAGTTAACCCTATATTTAGGCAACATAACTTTGTTAATATGTTTAAAGCTAACCCGCTTGCTGATAATACAATACATAAGATATTCAACATGCACAGTATTGTCAATTGAAGACTCAACAAAAAATGAGCATGACAGCTTTCATGAACTCTTTCTTCCTTGTTGTAAAGCAATAAGGTTCAACAAAACTGACCATCTTGAAATCCATCAGCAATCATTGTCTGTCATCATATGATGACGATCTAAGCCTCTTGGAAAACAAGCAAAATTTCTGTAATTCTGTGTTCTGCGTTGTTTACAGTCCAGCAAAGGGGAAATATGCCCCTCCATGGATGACTGAAATATAAACAATGTGATTCAACAGTTAATTACAACCCCTGTTTATCTGTTTCTGGTGGGTCTCCAGTAAATTATAAATAGTTAGTTACACAGAGGCTTCACTATGACTTAGTTCATTTAGAGCCAGAGAAATCAATTTGCTTCTGATTTAAGTGGAATTAATGGGTCTTGTATTTGCTTTCCAAGCTTTATCAGGTCTGTCTTCAAGAATTCAACTTAAAAAAAAGCTTTGTGTGTTGAATTGAGTTTGGCTCGATTTTTCCTAATGCATTCTAGAAGTTGTAAAACTTAGACCCTGACTGTCTATCGTGACAGTTTCAAGCAGATTGTTGGTTAAGGTTTACATTTTTAGAGCTTGCACACACATCTCTTTTTTCTTTAACGAGATGATGAATTGTTGTTGGATTACCATGAATGGCTGTCTGGAGGCCATTACTGGAGATTGTGTTCCACCTGCTGTTGCTCCTTATGGACAGCTTTTCCTACAAACACCAAAGTCTGCTGATACATGATGGTCAATACTACTTGGACTTGTTTCTCTGCATAGAGATTCCACATTTGTATTATGTAGAGATTACTTTCTAAACAAAGGTGGCAATAGCTAACAATCAACAAGAAAGTTGATGGAGGATCCCACTGATTATGTCAAAATGTCACTCAAAGTTTTAATTATGACCTCTTGATTAACTTGGCAGCTTTCTTAACCCATTTGTCAAAAATGATCTGTCAAAGGACAGCTACAAACTCTACTTTGAGACAGGGCCTCTCAAAATGTTGGTTTCTTTGCATGCCTTTGTGGTGTGTATGGTACAGTGACCAGACATCCCTGTTGTATAATGACTCTTCTCAACACACTCTCCAGCATCACAAATCTCTGAGGGAAAACACAGATTGTAGTACAGAGCCCAAGAGTACCAGTGAGTTCATGTAATGTAAGAGACTCATTTGAATCCAGTGTGAGAGAGTGTGTGAGGTGTTGTGGTGTTTTTTTGTGTTCCAGTGTTGGTGGACTGATGCCAACCTCTAGCCGTGATATTGTACTGACACTGTCTGATCCCAATGTTTGTGTGTGTTGATGTGTAGGCGTGTAATAGTGCATTTGTGTACAACTGTTATCACTGTGTGCTTTCCTTCAACACAAAAGGCTCGTTAGATTGGACTTTAATACAGCCTCAGTCTTCTTGTAAGTTTCAAGCAGTGGTCTTCACAAACTCCCATGTTAACAGATTAATCTTGGTCAGTTAGCATCTATGTCAACTCCAACGGGAGTGAATCTTTGTTTTTACACAAGCAAGGGGAGAAAATCACTTACCTGAGATACTGTACTGAGAACATCCCCATGTGGAGGGTGGCGGCTTTGGTTCAGTTGTTAGTCGTTGTCTCTCTACCAGAAGGTTGAGGGTTCGATCCCCAGGCTCCTGCAGCAAAATGTCCAATGTGTCCTTGGGCAAGACACTTAACCCCGAATTGCTCCCACTGCCATCAGTGTGTGAATGGGCAGGTGTGACCTGCGGTGTAAAAGCATTTTGAGTAGTCAGAAGACTAGAAAAGCGCTATATAAGCTCAAGTTCATTTACCATGTTGAATCTTTGTCTCAATAACACCACATTCAATCAGTTATCTGATTCCTTCCATAATTTCACACTGTGGATTTGTGAAATGATTCCATAAAGGAATTTTTCCATTCCATTTAATTGAACCAAACAGCCATCATCAATTAATCCACTGGTAGTAATGCAAATGCCAACACTTTTTGTTTTTCATTGTCTGCACAGACTGCAGTCTGCATGATGAAATGATAGTGTAACTTTTGGTGCATCTGTGTGTGTGTGTGTGTGTGTGTGTGTGTGTGTGTGTGTGTGTGTGTGTGTGTATGTGTGTCTGCACGTGTATATGGGTCGGCATGGTGATTGCAGGTTGCTGTCTAGGATGGCGGGGATGAAGGAGCAACAGTTCACGGAGGAGAAGCCCCTTCTGCCGGAGCAGCGAGGAGGAGACTCAGACATGGTCAGTCCACCTGTTTTATTCGTCCCGTGTGTCCTCTGTGCTATTTAGCCTCCTGTCTGACTGGTCACATGCTGAGAAATATGTGCACCATGACACACTCTGAAACTCCTGGTGCAATAAGGGGTGTTAATGCTCATTAGCTTGCCTTATAATTGAGCAATGTTTACCAGCAGAGGAGGATATTAATGAACCCATCCAACTACACCAGGAAAAGATGAAAGCTTGTTAACGCTGAGAGGAAGAGGAGGAGGACAAAAAGAGAAGTAAACAGAGAGCACATAACAGCCAGTGGGCGGTTATGTAAAGGCCACTTATTCCAGTCCACTTACCAAAGCAACAAGTTGTGGCTGAATGAGTAAATTTCAATGTTTGAGAGCTACTTGTTAAAGAAAAAATCTTGGTAGTAAGCCATATCAGTCTGATGTCAGGCAACTTTAAGTGCAGCTAAGATCTATGCCTGAGAAAGACTAATGCTCCCCTTAAACTTTTCAAACAGCCATTTCTGCGCAGGAGGAGCTGGTTATTATTCATACTGTTCAAGTAGTGTGGATGGAAAAAAGGCTTGAAAGAAGATAAAGGGTGCTGGGTCAGAGATTAAATGAAATGAAGGTGTGAATGAATAACTGGCTGGCCGTTTTATAGTGTAGAAAGCAGAAAAAGAAACAGGGGGCAAAAAACATTACCTACCAGAATATCAGGTAAACAACATCTTGAACGACTTGAACGACATCTTGGTTTATTCTTCTCCTCCAGACAAACCACTTAGTTCTGCTGGTGGAATCAGTGAAGCCACTTACTGAACATGTTGGATTTTCTTCTCCTCTCTCCCTCCCTGCTCATTGAAAGTCTGTAGATCTGGTGTTGCACAACAGTGTGACCTTTAAGAGCACTTACTGAGTGATTACATTCTAGACCAAGACACTGGTAACACTCTGGTCTAAATCACAGCAGGTCATGTTAGACTTATGCCGAATCAACTTCTTATGGCCTCAATAGAGATTTCCTGATGACTAAAAGCAACAATTTGAAATGTTTGATTTGTTTTGTTTTACAGTGATTCCCATGTCATGTGAATGCAGAATATTCGTGGTTTAGAGTTGCGTGTGGGCAGCCTTATCCAGCTGGTCCCCTAATCCTAACAAAGGAAGGGTACAAACTTCAGCTTGACCTTTTTTTGAGCACATGTAGAAGCAAAGTGAGGCTGGATGGGTCTTCTTTGGAGCTTCACTAAGACTCTAGCTGAGGATCACCAGTGAGCCGGTGTCCATGAAGTCCTTACACGTATCTTCAGAAAATGAATCTTGAATGATGTGTTTTGTTTACTGCATGTTGCTGCTTTGTCTCCCCAAAACAGCAGGATAAAGGAGAGGAGGCATCAGGGGGGTTAGCGTGCCCTGCCAGCACTGTGCCCCTTAACCAACCCCCTCCCCCCAGCCGCCCCAATCACCGTTGGCATGTCATCGCACGGCACTGGCTCCGCCAGACCCGCCGTCGGACCAGCGGGGTCATCCCGGTAACTACCAGAACCAGCAGAACGAGTGGAAACATCTGCCAGCGTACCTTTATGAAACAGACATAACAATGGCAACACGGAACACAAATTAGAAAAACTAACCGAGTCCAGCTGAGCAAAAAACCTGAACACCAGAGGCAGGATCATAATCTAGAAAAACAACACAGCATTTGTAGTTAGGTTCATCTCAGGCAACATGACAGAAGGTCACTCCTGTCATCTCCACAGTGGTTAAGTTAAACTGCTTCTGTGATACTATAATGCAGCATTTCCACACAGCATGCTATTGGCTTCAATCTGGTTGCTTTAAAATGGAACCATTACTTTCTCTAGTTGTTTTTTTCCTGTTAAATTAACTGTTCTCTGAAGGCAAAGAGTGTGTGTTTGTGTCTTCAACATGACACTTACACAGGCAGGAACTTTAAATTACGTGCTCAATGAACAGTAATGTAATGTCATTTACCAAATTAACTTGAGCTATATAGATTTTACTAGCAACATCAGTTTATATAAAATATTGGTGATGCTGAGTCTGCATGAAATTATCCTTTGCTATTGAGTTTAATGGCAGGGCTGTGCAGAGTGCCCTAAAAATGGTTCCCTCTGTCAATGGCAGGAGCATTTTTAACTTTGTTGAACGGCTTAGCCTGGAATATACCTGGTACTATCAGTGACTCTCACAGATTGACAATAAAAAGAGAAATGTTTGAGCCTAGTCTTGCTGTATCATGTGTTTAAAATTATGCTTTACATGTATGCCACTTGCAGTTGTGGATATTGTAATGAGAAGAACTGCTAATTTTCTTCAAAATAGCTATACTTTAACAATCCTCATTTGTTATTAAATGTTCTTAATTTGAAATCTTACTTCAAAGAAATGTAATGCTACAAAAGTCTCCTCATTAAAGTACCATTAAAGCTAAGTGTTGACAGAAAACAAACTCCTTAAACCTTAAAGATTGGATTATATGCATTCATCAACATATTTCGTTGGCCCTAATTTTACCACTTTTCTATGATTATTTGGCCACAAATCTTAACATCATATAAGCAGCAATAACAGCAGGAGGTTCTTGTATTGTGTACTTAGTTTTAAAAGTAGGACCAGATTCAATACAATACATAGAAAACGAAACGCAACCTACTCCTCTATGCTCCCTTATTGGTAAGCTTTGTATTATTTCATGTCAGTCTTTGACTTGATGTCACTCGTGACACTTCTTGTGCAACAAGAGTTGTTTTCCCTCTCAGGATGCCTTCAGTCATTGCGCCCCTAGTATCACTCTTGTAAACTTCCCCTTCATCCTTCTGAACCTATGAATTAAGTATCTCTGGAGTTACCCTGCTTTTCAACTGACAGATTTTTTTTTTTGAAATGCTAAAATCTGGGGCAAAATCTCCATATACAAAAAAACCAGCCTCGAGACACAGAGACTACGAGATCAGAGGCAGGAGGAAAACATCAAAGCAGAAAACGCAAAGCAACACTGGTCCAACACAGCTTGACAAGGCAGCCTACGTCTGAGCAGTATTTCACTTAACAGAGTCAGAGCGATCACCTGTGCCGTTTCCTGGCTTAAGGAGGACAACATTCAACTTTAGTTTCTTGTGGATTTAAGGAAGAATCTCTCCCTCAGACACTTTCACTAAAACAAAATGTAAAATATTCAATTTTAATATGATCACCCACACAAACTCAGCTAGTGTTCATGCTGGTATGGGTGCGCTACACTGGGGTGGGAGTTTTAAGAAGAAGAAGGGTGCCACCTGCTGGTCTGACCACCGTACTGTCATCCCTTACATTTCCCCTCTGAAACACTGAACCATTTGCATGAAATCACAGGAGACTGAAGTTGCCCTTTCAGAGGAAAATTTCAGTTGAATAAGGAAATCATCGATTTATTAGAGTTCTCCCCTCATATATCTTCAAATGCTCAGCTGATGATGCCTGGCCTGGTGGGAAAGTTATCGGCTCATTCAATATTTTTTCAGTTTGTATTCTTCTCAAAGGGCAGCTTCAGAACCAGAGGTTTTTTGTTGTCACATCTTTCTCTCTCTTTAGGTGTTTCCCTGGTCTGAAGTGTTTCACACTTTCTTTCCACGTGTATTCCCATCTTAAATTTAGATTCCCCCCGAAAGCTTAATCCACCACCATTAATTTTGTCTTTGTATCCTTCTTTAATCTTGTCATATTTTCTTTCAGATGTCTCTGCAGAACTCACATGAACTCAATTTAAATTAACCTCTAACCAAGACCTTATTCATGCATGTTTAACAAGGGCACAGTGTCGAAACCATCTGTCTGACTGTTCTGACCACTGACTAACCTTATTTGCATGCCCTTCATTTAATTTCCAGATTTCCAGATGTTCCCGCTCTGCCATGCGCTTTACAAAAGTGGCAGTGCAGGAACAAGTTAACATGTGCTGAAATAACACAGGTTTGGATATGTGAGCTTTAAGTACAACTGAAAAATGGCAGATGCATTGAAATGTTTCTTTTCTTAATCATGTGTCATTTTCCTGCAGAAACAGCAGAATGCAATTAATGTTGATTTAAAAAAAAAAAAAAAACCTGTTTATGTCAACACATCAGACCAGATTCCTCTAAGAGTGAGCACATGAAAAACATTTTCTGCAAACTTGAATGCAAACATATTTTTGAACTGACAAGAAATTCAGAGCTGTCAATTCTTTTAGAGTCAGCTTGTCATCAATCAGCGCAGCTGAATTTTTCAAACTATTTTGGCAGACAAGGAGTCAGACTGACTCACAGGGATTCTGATTTCCTTCATCACTGAGACGGATAAAAAATGCATAATTTTTTTGCTCCAATGTTGTTCATGAGCTCCTCTTTAGGGGGAAATCTGGCTGCAGATCTCTCTCTCATCCTGTGTTTAAAGACACCACCTTTCTTCACTTTTTACTGCTGATTTGTTCCCCATCAGTCTCCTAAAAGCACTTGAGTGAATGACTTTTACTGACTCTCTAGAATGAGGAACACTTCACAAAATGTTCTCTTTTTGTGACTCCAACATTTTTACCCTTAAATAAAAATGTAACAAATTGTTCTACTCTGCTTTGAAACACTCTGTCTACTAAGTTCTACTTTCTAGGTATAAAAAACATGTCTTAATGAGGTCGATAGGGTTATAGGAGACAACAATGAAGAAAACTTGATGTAGAAAATAATCATATGTCTATTTCAGTCAGACAAATCATGTTTGTATCATTTAAATAATACAGAAGAACATAGTTTGTGTTTGCCATCTAGGCTCTGTTCTTCTCACTCCTGGCAGTTTTTAATTACATGAAGAAATTTGAGTGATGGGATTTAGTTAAGTTTAGTTTATTTGTTTATTGTTTCGTTGAGAGTCCCATTTAAATAACTATACAGTTAAAGGAGCAGCTTTAGCCTTTGCGGCTAATTTCCAGCTGTGGTCTCCGGCCAGTTGTCAGTAGTAGGCAACCTGACATGCAGTAGTAAAAAATTAAAATACAATAAATTACATTACATTCATAATTGCAGCAGGCCTAAGCAAAAGGAAGAGAGACATACAACGTGTCGCACACAATTGGAGCAAGCACAGATGGAGCAAAGACATCAAAGCAGTTCATGCAGTAAAGACAATACAGGGGAGACGAGGGAAAAGAATAATCACAGAGGCCACATTGAAAGCACATACAACACATAACATGGAGTCAGGCAGCAGAGAGGGAGCGGCAGCAGCAATGACTATGTGACATCAAACACACATATCTCATCAGACAGAGAATAATGTGTGCAGTTATAGTTGTCGGACAGCCATGTTTAAGGTGTGTTGTATAGGTGGAGTATCTATAGCTTTGAAGTCGTTGGCAGTGAATTCCAGTTTTGTATTGCTCTAACAGAAAATAATAGTTGACCAAGTGTGCTTTTCCTAAATGAATTAGGAGGTCATCTCGTGTGGTACTTCTTTGATCTGACTGCTGTTGTTATGTTGGGTTATGAATTAGTTTAAAGGAGGAGGAGCGGTGTTATGCAGAATTTTGTAGACCAGGCAGATGTTTTTGTATTTCATTACATCTTCCCAGCTCAGTTTTATATCTTAAAACCCAAGTCGGAGCCACATGTGGATGCTGGGTTATAGTGGGACTGAGCAAGAGTGCAGTACTGGTGCAGGTGAGAGCTGGCAATGAAAAATCAAAGTCAGGAAACCTTTCATCTTAAATAGACCACTAATTAAAGGGGGTGTTGTCAGGTGACTGTGGATAATGATGTATGTCAAGAGTGAAGTCAGTGCAGCCTGAACTAACTCGCAATTAAAAGCATGTTGCAGGGTCTGAAAGCCTCTGTGTTCTTGCATTATAAGAAATGTAGGATCGTGTGCTTTAAAAGTATCACAACAGGTTGGTTATCAAGCGTAGTAGATATTTGCTTGAGGAGGTCTGACAGGCGGTGAGCACATACTGAAGACTGAGTGATTTGAAGATGCTTGAAAGAGAAACACAGTACAATAAGTACAGCCTCTGTGTCTATCGATAAATCTTTGAATGCAACGATAAAAGCTCAAATGACAATGGAAAAAAACAAATTAGCCAATTCACATAAACTAGTATGTTTATCTTTGTTATCTGTGACACAATTTAATCCCATCCAACTGTTATTAGTGCTGAGTCACTGTGATTCACTTTAGAGACTATAGTCTTTTTATCATTTGTTGTTTCAAACGTAAATATTTTAAAATATGTCTTGTGTGAGTGTCTCATGCAGTGCATGACTAAATTGTTGGAGTGCTCCTTTAAAAGAGTTCAAACACCTAAGGACAATATTGGATTGATTGTGGGCCTCAAAATGAAGTCAGTGTTAAAAACTTAAAGAATATATAACAGGTATAATTATTGGATGCTATAGTGCTGTGTAAGTGCTTCTGGGAAACTGAGTTTTTTCTGTGTCTGTGGTTTGGACCTACAGTGCACAGCTTGTGCTGCCTTCAGCTCCAACAGTGGATGCACCCTTTAATCTGTGAGGTTTGTCTGCATATTCTCATTATTTTTCTTCTTCTCTGTTTCTGGTTGTTTTTCTCTGCAGGAGAGCTGTGAACAGCTGATGCCGGCAGGAGATTGGAAGGTATGAAGGGATGTGTGTGCTGTTTGCTGCTGTTATTTTAAGATTGAGCCTGCCTCTCTTTCTCCTCCCTGTCACCTATCACTTATCATCTTCTTGTCTTTTTTGCCGTCTTTTATCCTCCATCTGTTGTTTTTTTTGTTATCTTGGTGCTGGCATGATTAATCATCATATCTTCCTAAGATAAAAAGAGGACGATGGAAGATATAGCCTGTATGTAATAACATACAGCTAAATATTTAGATTTAAGATGTTCTAAAAGTCACTGTCTCAAAACAATAGGCGTAATAGAGTACTATTAGATATAGTGATGGTATGGATTTTAGATCAATCGCATTTTTTAAGGATGACTCACTTGAAGGTCACATATAATGCAAAATATACCTCTACTACAGCTTCCCTGAGTGGGCGGGGCCATCTTCCCCCACCTGGTAGGGCCAACAGTTGGAGATGGAGAGGTTTACTTGAATTAAACATGTTTGAGCCTCTGACAGAAAACATGATCAAGCTGAAGAAAGCTCCATCCCCTCCCGTACGCACATAGAGCTGAAAACAACAAACCCAGAGGGAGTTTGACTTCACTCCTTTAGTATCTGCTATATTAATGTCTACGATGTTACATATTATACCTTTTAATGATTACACAACTGCGTGAGCATTCAATATTTATTGAGCAGTATTTCATGTCTTACTGTTGGTTACACGGGAAAGGCCTGCATGCTGCTACATCCTACTGTACAGCCAAAACAATGCTTCTTTGTTTCAAAGTGTGGCCAGCTGCTCACTGGGCAGAAGCTTATGCAAGCAGTTTCCAAGCACCAACAGAAACTGAAAAAAGCTAAGACTGACAGAAACAATCAAACTTTTATGAACTAAAACAGACTAAAACAGAATACTTTCACAATAATTTTGTTTTACAAAAGCCGATTACGTTTTTTTAATTGGGTACAAGGCCCAGGACCGTGTACATTTCTGTAAAAAACTGTAAACAATACCTTTATATTTAAAAATAAAATCCCATTTTCATTTGATCAATTGATTGGTAAAAATGTAATACTAGGTGCTGTCCTGTCTCAACTTTTTAAATGATTAATTTCTCACTTGTTTTTGGCTCATGTCTGTTAACGGCAGCAGAGCAAAAAAACTTTCAAGGACCCATTACGACATCAGTTGGTGAATTCTTCCTTTTTTTTTTTACAGAAGTGAAGTTTCACACATTTAACAGCTACTGTACAGTCGGTTTATTTTAGTCAGACATGTGCTATGTATCAGACAGGAGTGAAAAGATGGTTCTTATTAAACACCTCTTCTTCACACTCTAACCTGACACTTCCAAGATCTCAAATAATTAAACGAAGAGTGATGTTATTTCTGCATGCTGGCTGCCAGGATGATGAAAGATTCTGCCTCTGGCTTATTGCTGTCTTGATAGACCGTGCAACACTGATCATTAAAACCTCTTCAACCCTCTTTCCTGAAGTAAATTTCACAAACAAGTTATTGCAGGCACATTTTTGCTAAACTGTTATTATTAGAGCTCTCCAATATTGATCAGTGAATTCACTCAGTCAAGTAAAATGGTTTGACTGCATCTGGTTAGTAAACTTCAAGTTGAAATTCAGTTAAACAACTTAAAAACAGTGCCACTGTGCTGTATGGTCTTTGAATCAACTACATATTTTGTTTAAACTTCAAGGTTTATTTTCCTCAGTGAAGACAGCAGGCAGCTGTGCTGAAAAGAACAGTTATTTTAAGTAACTCTGTTTTGCTGCTCACTCCTCACTCCCTCGGGAGATGTGTGGGAGTGTGAAGCGAGGCCTCTACTTCACAAACTCTTTGAGCTTCTTTACTTTAATAAAATTAACAACTTTAGTCAGCCATCACAACAAATGGTATTTGTTTAGTATTTCATTCTATTTCAAATACTGTTTTCTTATTAGCCAGTTAAAGGATTAGCCTTTGCATATAAACTTTGATAATATAGCGGTGTATCATAGGGTTGATGTTGATTACTAGTTGGTTGTCTTGCTGTTTATATACACTTAGACTAAACTAAACTAAATATACCTTTCGGTGTGGTTAAGCAAGAGCACAGGCACAACAGCTGCTGTGCATCTTGTCCATCTCGTAGCATAGCTCAACATGGACTGACTAAACGACGACAACTCTGATACATCACTTCACTTGTAAAGACATATCACTCTGCCAACCATAACCATGAGTAACCTAAAAGTACCCAATATCAAACAGTTACTCTTAGGGCCTCCCATATCACGTTTCTTTTTGTAACATTCAGATTTCTTGTCTGTAACTCGTAAATATGTTTAATACCTTTTACTACACGGGGCTGAGTTTCATTTTGCGCTTGCAGTCATTCTGCTTAAGCCTAATTTCAGTACCGCCACCGCCTGTTATCACTCACGTAATTTTTCTCAGTTGATTAACCCGCAAATTGCACACCAACCAAATGTGCATTTTCTTTGAGTGGACATGCAGTACTCTTTACGTGGGATCTTAGTAAGTCAGGCCCTTGCAGTAGTATGGAAAGTCCAAATAAAGTTATCCTGGTAAGTGAAGTTACCATTAAATCCAATAATGTGCATTATGTCAACCTGAGGAAAATAAAGATATACAATATGAAAATGTAAAAATATCTCAACTCCATCTTAAAGTTACTTCACATTTTCCAAGCTAGCGCGTCTCTTTAGCGCCTAACGTTGAAAATGTCAAACTCTGGGCTACAGAACAATAATCATTATACCAAGGGGTGACTTCATGTAGGCTACATCCTCTCCATTTCTACACTGTACGCTCCTGTTGAATGACCTGTTGACAATAGAGTTGTGTTTACATGTATTGCTTCTTTTTATCACTGTTGTAATTTATATGTTAGCTGAACATGGTATTAATAAGTAGAGTTGGATTCAAGATGGCGACTACAGAATGCACGTTGTGTGGCTGCTGGAGCTAAGTTTGCAGTATTGGTATTTTACCAAAGTAAACAGAGTTAGTTCATAACTCCTGCCTCCTTTTATTAGTGTGTGCAACAAATAGCCCCTTACAGTCATGACTCCTTTGAACTTCCACATTGCTATAATAATGGTATAATAATATTAGTGTCCTGGTGTGGTTTCCACTAAGTAATGACTTTGTAAGTAGAAGCGCAAGAGGCACAGAGCAAGAAATAAGTCCAGACATCTTTTCAGGCATAATTCCTCAGTGGATAAATTCTCAAAAGCAGCTCAAAAAAGGCGCTAGAGATATCCAAAGTTCGATACATAAAAACCTCCAAGAATTGCCCCAAAACATATTTTATAATGTAATGTATCACCTCTTCCTTTTAAACAATTGTTCATCTTGTCTTTCCTCTTCTAAAGAGCCAATTATTTATTTTGGAGCCTGCAGGTTGTCATGCTGAATTCCACACTGAGCCTCCACCTATTATAAAAGGCTCTCTTAGTCAACCCCTCCATCTACTCCCTCCTCAGAGTGACTCACTCTCCTCGACTCCTCCCAACCTGTCCGTCTTTAGGGAGAGAAAAAAATTTTCTGCGTTGTTTTTAGAATATTTCCAAACCTAACACAACGAATTTAGCTTAATTCAACAGAGTATGAAATTCAAGTATGAAATTCAAGATGAGAAGAACTAAAGTAACACTGCTTGATTTAAAGCTACACAGGTAAATTAAACATAAAAGTTGGCTTAACTGCACTGAACTTGGTCCATTTAATTATTAGATCATGCAATAGATTGATTCAAGAAATCCAACGGAGAAAGTAAATAAACAGATAAGGAATTGGACAAAAAGAAAGTAACCTAACCTTTTTTTTAATCAAAGGACTTCTTTAAAAAATTATAAAAGTAATCAAAAATGTCAGTCGTCCACATTTCCAATCTGATCTTTTCGGTTAAGCCTTTTCCCTGCCCATGGCTCTTTCATGCTGGCAGAGATTGTATGTTTAAAAAAGATGGAGTGATGCTGAGTCAGCGGGGAGCGAATTAATCTCCACTGTGGAGAAAAGGGGGGAAAGTCAGATAGAGGAAGAGAGAGAGAGAGAGAGAGGCAGGGGACAGCAAAGAGTGGCGTTTAAAGTTGAGTCAGCACGCTGTGTGCTCTGTCAACAGAAAAGGGGGATAGATGGGGAGAGAAAAGAAGGGATAGAGGAAGAGAAAGGAGAGAAAATGGTAAAACAAAAGGCCAGGCTGCTAAATGACACCAGACAGCAAAGAGAGGGACACTCTGGTGAGTGTGTGTGTGTGTGTGTGTGTGTGTGTGTGTGTGTGTGTGTGTGTGTGTGTGTGTGTGTGTGTGTGTGTGTGTGTGTGTGTCTACTGCTCGCATGATAGGCACTGTGACACCATTGCAGTCAAGTGAATATGCACGTACGCTTCTCACACTTCTACAAGTATTATAGGCTACGTCAGTGTAAGAGTCAAAGTCAGTTTTGAATTTGGCAATTTAATAAGAAATAAAAGCATGTTTAAGTAGTTTTATTGCCACTACCTTTTTTTTGTTTATGTCGGGTGTTTGTAACTTTATTATCTCTCCATGATATAAACAATAATGCTGCTAAAAGAGTGCACACAGGTGTTATGGAAGAAACTTAACTTTAAATACAGAATCCAATCAATTAGAAAATGTAAAGGATTATATTGTCTTCCTAAACTGACAACATGGCAACACCAAAATGTTGGAAATAATCCAATGCACATTTGTTCATGTAATTCTGCCATTTGAGCTACATTTTGAATTCATTCCTTCTTTAATGACCAAAATGAATGTTAGTGTTTGAGATGACTAGAAAGTGAAGATTCAGATGTTAGTTGGAAGCAATTTGGAAAAAAAATAGAAAGAAAGACTATTGCCTTATTCACAAGTTTCTCTCATGTCCTTTTCCTTTTGTTCTCACATGAAAGTGAAGAAGAAGGTGTGGGTGGAAGCAAACAGTCAACAATGTTGAACCAAACTGTTTCCTCTCACTGTGTAATGGATGGGTTTGAT